CCGTGAAAGCCTTTGAGAATACATTTCTTCCTAATTTCTCTAAATGCAGAGTTTGCAAAAGTAAATTCTTTGGGCCATATCTGAAAATCCTTGAGCTAGCGGAGTTGATGAGGGGAGTCTGAGTTATAGTTCAAAAAAGGAACCTTTTCCAGCTCTTTGAAAATGTTGATGCATCTGGAATATTCCATTTGATGGCATGGATCCAGAGAAACACTGCTGAAAAGGAGCAGAGGGAAAGTGACTTTTCAACCTCCAACTCCTGCTTGCAATTCTCCAAAACTGCAAAACAAACAAACAAACAAACAAACAAACAAACAAACAAACAAATAAATAAATAAATAAATAAATAAATAAATAAATAAATAAATTAAAACATCTCCTAAGAGTTGGAGGTGGTATGCTGTGATGCAGTGGGGTTAAGAGCATGCTGAATATCTGGCAAATGCAATGTTTTTGAGCAGGATGAGAGAAAAAAGATAATGAGCCATCATGTCATATCTAGTGTGACACTCTCTATTTTTTTCTCTGTCCAAATTCACAATGCATTACTGTTCTGTTTAAATCCTGGCCCTCTAAGCAATGATATCTTTTGTTGCAATGGTTCTCCGCTGGTGGAATATGTACCACCAGTGGAGTATGGATAGAATTCCTATGCAGGTTTTATTCAACTCAGCACTGTGAATGTGCTTTAAAGGACATGCTTTACTCTGTTCCTCCCTTGTCACATTTTTCATGGTTACAGTGCTGACTTTGAAGAGGAGACGTTCTTGCTTACATTTAAAGCCTTAAATCCTGGAAAATCTTGGTTGTTGCCCACATGTAGAGACTCACTTACCTTCTCCTCTGTAGTCCCAATGCTGTCAGCGTTAACAATGTGACAACCAGAAGCAGGAGCAGAAACTAGTTTCTGAATAAGTTCACGGGAAGTGGTTGAATAATACCTGAATAGAACTATAGTCTATATGGGATGTAGAGTTTTCATAAATTCATTCCTAATAATACTACAGTATTGCTTTTATTTACAGTAGGACACCCTTATCCGTGGATCAGTATCCAGTGATCCACTTCTCCATGGTCTGAAAATATTAAAAATATTAAAAGAAAAATGCTTGAAAAATATATTTCTAAAGGTGAAGTCACAGAACTTTTCACTAGATAGAGCCAGAGACCATGCTATGTATAACATTCATTATTAAAATAACATGCATTTCTTCTTCATGGTCTCTGTGAATGCACACAGATGGGTTGTTCTGCGCCTGCACTGAATATCTCAGAAGTTTCTAGAGCTTAAAGACACATGATTAGTGGGACATTCCCCCGTGGAGCACATGCTCCGTCCATCCCAGATCCCCCCAGTTCCTTTTTTCTGCCGTGTTGTTGAGACCTCTTTCGGAAGAATAGAGCAATTTGTCGCTTTGAGCATCCAGATCTAGCGTATTTCAAATTTATCCTGTTTATTTCCAATCATACAATCTACGTTCCCCTGTAAGTTTGTTCTAGTTTTTATCTATCCATGTTTTTGCTTCCCCCCATCTCAAGCCATTTTTCCTTCCTTTTTCCTGCTCTTTATGACCTTGCCCAGCCCTTTTAAGCGGTGCGTTGTTTGTGCCAACAAAATATCTCTAACCAACGGGCACGACTGCTGTTTGTTTTGCCTGGGTGAACAACAACCCACCCGTTCCTGTGCTGCGTGCAAGAGATTAATGAAGCTGGCACTCAAACTTCAACTCGAGGTCCAACCTTTGGATTAAGTCTCTCAACCCTCCCGCGGCTTCTATGGAGACCATACAGTCCCCAGATCCTCAAGTAGAGTGGCAAATTCCACCACAGCCAGCTCCTGGCTCAGTGACTCCTTCTCCGCATCCCAAGGAGAAGTCCAAGAAATTGAAGTCAGCATCGAGATGGAAGTTGATATCGATGTTGAAGACCTCGACTTGAGCCCCAGACTCTTCTAAAAAGAAGAAAGATAAGATGACTTCAAAAAAGGTAAAAAAAGGTCGAATCTACTCATATTAACCCACCACAACCAACTTTGCCATCTCCTATCATGGAAAAATCATCCAGAGATGCTCCAGTATTGACATCTGAGAGGGAAGAGTCTCCTTTGCCTTTGGTCCAAGCTCCAGTCTCGACTGGTAGCTTGTCGCCTAATACCAGCCTTTCTCCGGTTGACATGCAATCCAGCCAGGCCTCGGCCCATTCTAGCCCTGCTTCATCAGGGCTGGCAGTTGTAATAGAGTTTTCGGGTTCTGAGTAATCTCATCACTCTCTCAGGAAGCACTGAGAGAAGCGTAAACACCTTTCACCTCCTCAATACATTCCTCCATATCAAGAGTACTATTACTACCTGCAATCTTACGATATCAATCTAGTGACAAAGAGAGGGAGAGATGTTATCACTATGATCTGTACTTAATTGAAGACCCTCAAGAACAACTTCACTATGAGGAACCCAATAGAGTCAGATATACACTACCATACCTATCTCGATATTCACCATCACTCTCTCCATCTCCACCTCCACACCAACATCGATCTCAGCATTCCATGTCCACTTATCCTACCATTCCAGCCAAACCAACTTTGAAACGCTCTTTGCCGACTGTTCAACATTCACACTCCAAATGATCCAAACACTCCTCTAAATGTCAAACATCATTACAAGTCACCACTACATATAAAGGTCCTCCTCCTCCCGTAACAGAAAGATGCCCCACACGTTCTCCTGTTCAACTTCAAGTTCCTTCTGCACGATCATCGACACCGAGACATTGAGATCTATCCCCATCTTCATTGTCATTATCTATCCAGAATTAGACTCAGACACATCTCAAGAATCACCATCGAATCTCCCAACCCCTACTTCTGATGTCAATGAGAACCATCCTCCGTCCCCATCTGAAGACTTTACCCCGTATTCCCAACTAATTACGAGAATGGCCAAGTCCCTACAACTCGAGGTGAAAGAGCCACCACCATCCAAAACCAATTTGATTTTCGATGACATCAAGCAAGACAGAACACCTCAGTGTTGCTTTCATCCCGGCCATGCTAGAATTGATTAAAGACTCTTGGGACAAGCCTCCATCATTGTTACAAATTTCTAGATGCACAGAAAATAATTACAAAACACACGGACCCGATACCAGTTTCCTTACTAAGCATACTACACCCAACTCAGTAATAGTCGAATCCAATCAATCCAGAGCTCAAAATAAATCTTCTGTTGCTCAGACCAACAGGGAAGGAAGAAAGCGCGATATACTTGGTAGACGAATCTACTCTGTTACTTCATTCATACTGCGAGTGGCAAACTATCAAGTGGCAATGGGAGCTTACCAAAGACAGTTATGGAATAAGATCCTCCCTATACTGGAGTCAGCTCCCGAATTGGTTAAATCAGAGGCCATCAACATTCATATGGAAGCTACTACACTGGCTGAACAGCAGAGAATTGTGTCTCGTCACACTGCAGATGCTGCATCAAAATCTCTAGCCTCTTCTATTGCATTACAATGCCATGCATGGCTTCGGTCTCCTGGACTTTACGATGATGCCAAATCAAGAACAGAGGATCTTCCATTTGATGGAGCTGGACTGTTTAATAAAAAAAACTGATGAAGTCATGGAAAATCTTCATAAAATATGCAAGACAGCCTGATCTTACTGTACTGAACAAACATTCAGGTACCAACGTCCTCAGTACCGATAGTTATTTCCACACCAATCATACCAACGATTCCAGCCATATTGACAATACAAACCGCAATCATCAGACAAAACATTTCAAGGCCGTTCACCTCCGGTATCATCCTCCTTTCAGAATCAACAACAACAACAACGCCCTTTCGTCAGAAAAAGCGTAAGCAATATGGCAAACTATAACTAACAATCAGTGGATCCTCTCTATCAAGTATGGTTATTTTATAGAATTTAAATCCCTTCCACCAATTGGAAGAGTCAAAAACACCCCATACTCTACAGTCCTTCAAAAAGTCTCTCTTTTTCTTCACAAACAAGCTATAATCACAGTTCTTTCATCTGACCTGCATGACGGCTTTTACTCAAGATACTTTACAGTTCCCAAAAAAGACGGAGGACTCCGTCCCATTCTCAACCTCAGACATCTCAACAAATTTATTCAACCTCCGTCTCAACAAATTTATTCAACCTCCGACGATTCAGAATGCTGACATTAGACACTTATCATTCCTCTACTTTCGCAGGGAGACTGGTTCATCGTGATTGATCTCCAAGATGCCTACTTCCACATATTGATTCATCCAGGTCATCACAAATTTCTTCGGTTCTGATTCGACAGCACTGCATACCAGTTCTGCGCTCTTCCTTACGGTCTGTCCACAGCACCGAGGACCTTCACAAAAAGTATGGTACCAGTTGCTGCACATCTTTGACTTCAAGGAATCAACATCTTTCCTTAAATAGATGACTGGCTAATAGTCTCAACATACTATCACAATGCCATCAGAGCCACCAACCTTACACTCAACACACTTCGAGATCTTGGCCTCAAGGTGAACTTCGCAAAATCACACCTCAAACCTTCCCAAAAGGCCACTTACACCAAAGCCCTTTTTGATTCTCTACAAGCCAGAGCCTTTCTCTCATAAGAGAAAATCCTCAAATTAAAAAAAAGGCTATTCAGCCCTTTTGACCATTAGCCACTGTATCAGCTCATAATGTCCAACATCTTCTTGGACTCATGGCATCAACAACCTCGGTCATACAACATGCCTGACTCAAAATAAGATTGCTCCAGTTGTGATACCTGTCCTTATTCAGTCCTGTGACAGACCACCCAGCTGTGTGACTAACGGTAGCACCTGAATTAGCCCTTCAACTCACCTGGTGGACATTTCTCCCAAATCTACTCATTGGACGAACCTTTATGCTTCTCCAACCGACAGTACAAGTTACCACTGATGCCAGCCTGTTGGGTTGGGGAGCACACTGTCTACATCACAAGATTCATGGCTTATGGACAAATGAAGAAAAATGGTTGCATATCAATCATCTCGAATTTCTAGTGATTATCAGAGCCTTTCACACTTTCCTGCCACTCATCACAGGACATGCAGTTCAACTCGCCACGGACAATATTGCTGCCCTTTATTACGTGAACAAGCAAGGAGGTACTCACCGTTTATCCCTCCTGTACCTCACAATTGAGCTGTGGGAATGGTGTTGCCTGCATCACATCTTCCCAATAGTAGTACATATCACCATGGAAGAAAACTACATCGCAGACTACCTTAGCCGTCTGACATTGAGAACACACAAATGGTCTCTGGACGATACCATCTTCAATCTTCTCTGCCACCGGTGGGGCACTCTGACCATCGACGTCTTTGCTTCCAGAGCAAATGCCAAGTGCCACATTTATTGTTCTCGAGCCGGAGTCAACGAGAATTCCATCAGAGACACGTTCATGATAGACTGGAACAAAAGCCTACTCTACCTCTTCCCACCAATACCACTCATACAACTAACAATCATTCGGCTCCCAACACTTTCAGTCCAATGTGATCCTTCTAGCTCCTTGGTGACCAAGGCAACCGTTCACTCACCTCAGGTAGATTTTGACAGACTCATTCCGGCTCCTGCTGATTTCCAATCTTCTCACACAGGACGACGGGAGGATCTACCATCCAGACATAGCTTCTCTGAATCTGGCAGCCTGGAGGATACTCCCACCATAAAAGACATCCTCGATCAAACTCGAAGTTCCTATATCAAAATAATTGGAAAGCATTCCTCTCCTTCGCTGATTCAAACAACTTACCTACAACACCAGTTTCCTTGAAAACTCTACTCACTTTTCTCCTTTACTTGTTCAATTTTGAACTGTTCTATTCCATCTTAAAGGTCTATATTCCAGCCATTGTAGCTCATCAACATGCTAACACTAAATCAGCTAAACTTTTGTCTCACCCGACTGTAAAAATGTTTCTCGAGGGACTTAATAATATTCATCCACCACACCAACATATTATCCCTCAATGGTCTTTTCAGCTTGTCCTCGGTGCTCTTATGTGTCCACTATTTGAACCGATGGCTTCTTTCAATCTCAAATTATTGTCATTGAAGACTTCCTTTCTCGTAGCAATAAAATCTGCTAAATGAGCCAGTGAACTAGGTGGCCTCTGTTCCGATCCACCTTTCCTCCAGTTCCATCCAGACAAGGTCACACTGTACTTTGATGTTTCTTTCTTACCCCAAATTGTATCTGATTTTCACCTTAAATAGCCAATCATCTTACCAACTCTTTTTCCATCACCATCAACACCTCTTGAACTCATGCTCCATTTGCTCGATGTAAGACAATCTCTTGCCTTCTATATTGATACAACCAAAGCCTTTAGAGAGAACAAATAGACTTTTTCTATGCTTTCATGGCCCTCACAAGGGAGCACCAGCTTCCCCACAGTCTATCTCTAGATGGATCGTCCAAACCATCTCTTTGGCTTATGAGTTGTCACGCAAACCAGCTCCTGAACATCTAACAGCACACTCCACTAGAGCGCTGTCAACATCTACTGCCTTCCAGCGTGGAATTGAAATACCTCACATCTGCCATGCGACCACATGGTCTACTCCATCAGCCTTTATCAGGCATTACCATTTAGATGTCAGAACACGGAGTGATGCTGGTTTTGGCAGAGCTGTCTTGGCATCCTTCCTACCGTGATGTCCCACCATCCGGTAAGTGAGCTTGTTAGTCACCCATTTGTGTGCATTCACAGAGACCGTGAAGAAGAAAACAAGGTTACCTACCTGTAACCATAGTTCTTTGACTCGTCCTCTGTGAATCCACACATCCCACTCATCCTCCCCTGTCCGTCACGTTTTACCTTAAATAATTCTTTTACCCGTGGACAATTGTCAGGAACTGAGGGGATCTAGGATGGGCGGAGCATGCGCTCCATGGAGGAATGTCCCACTAATCATGTGTCTTTAAGCTCTAGAAACTTCCGAGACGTTCAGCACAGGCACAGAACAACCCATTTGTATGGATTCACAGAGGACTACTTGAAGAACTATGGCTACAGGTAGGTAACCTCCTTTTTTTCAGTATCTGTCCAGCTTGGAAATGATCCCCTGCAGATAAGGGGACCCTACTGTATTTGTTTATTGGTGTCATTGTCATCTATTTATCAGAGAACAGTAACATTTATGCTCAGCAGTATTATTACAGTTTTCAGATACTAATGTTGTTTGTTTTTGTTGACTGTGATGAAGAACTTAAAAAAATGGTTTAGAATTACTTCCTCTCTATATATTAAATTCTCTGTATAATCATTAGGATTAGCTGACATAAAACATTTTATTAATTCATGACCTTTAGGCTCAATCAAGATTGGAGGGTCATTGAGCAAGGAACTGCCTTGTACATATAAAGAGGATCTGTTATTGTTAGAAGACCATTTAAGGTCACATCGGCTTCAAAGTACAGTTGTATATAACTGCCAGGAGACAGCTTTCCTGGGTGGAGAGGAAACAACAGATAAAGACCAGAATAAGAGATCTCACATTGAATCCAGAAAGAAAATGTGAAATTGTCTTTGTGAATTAGTGGCAGCCTGATACATTGAGGGAAATTAAGGAAATTAGTATCCCATATTTGGTACCCAGTATGATGTAGTAGATAGAGTAATGAATTATGGTTCAGGAAACTTGAGTTTGATTCCCTGGCTCTGGCATGGAAACTTACTGAGTGGTGGAACTGCTAAAACCCTACTTACCATGAGGGGAAGAATTGAGGCTAAATTTAGATAATGCTTGAGCATGTTTATGGAAATTTATATTCTTGCGTGTCATCCAGATCATTTGAAATATGTTGGAGCCAATAAAAAGCAATATTAGTAGTAGACATGGTCTAGAGGGGCGGGGTATAAATTTAATAAATATATAGATAGATAGATAGATAGATAGATAGATAGATAGATAGATAGATAGATAGATAGATAGATAGATAGATAGATAGATAGATAGATAGATAGATAGATAGATAGATAGATAGATAAGATAGATAGATAGATAGATAGATAGATAGATATTAGAGCAGAAGAAGAGACATTCTGAACCATGAGTTGCTAGCTCAGATGCTTGTCGAGAACAGAGCACCTCTGCACTTGAACTGTGGTCTGATGTCTGAGAGACAGAATTTTGCATGTAACATCAATAATATTGCTTGCACTCTTCCTTTCTACTGAAAAGATCATTCCAGAGGATGACTGAGGCAGTTTTCATCCCCAACCAAAAATCATAACATTTCTGTCTGATTACGCTTTTTTAATTTTTCTTTGGGTTTTTTTTTTGCCAAATGTGTAAACTTGTCTTATATTTGAGAGTTTTATGCTTCAACAAATACTTTTGCCTTTCAGTGCCCACCAAATCTTCATAAGCAGGATGGATCTTCTTGTGATTCAAATCAGGTGTGCAAGTCTTAAAACTGCTTTGTTCAGAATATTAATTTTGCTTATAGTTTCCTGCAATGCACTTCTGTGTCTTAGTTGTATTGTTTGCATCTTTGTTTTGATGCTCTTAATGGCCAATATCCTGTTGTGTAGATGCAACAGCTTAGTGGGAATGATATAACCAATGGTGGCACATTGCTGCTAATTAAAGAGCTGCTGCTTTGATTGTGAGCTCTGTATGACTCACATGCAATTAGATGAAGTTATAATAATAAAAAAATCAAGCAGGAACTGCCACTGCTGCCACTGCTGATGATATTACTCCTGTAGCACTGGTAGAGCTATGGAACAGCATTTTGGCCATTTTGTTATCGAAGAGAAAGTGGGGTGCAAATTATTTGAATAAATAAAGAACTCATTACATATACATTTCACGTCCCTAGTTAAATCATCCTTTTCATCCTTCCTCATAACTATTACTGTAGTATAGTTAGTGAAGTGAAGGCTAGTAAATCTCACATTGTTGGGTTGGTGAATTTGCTCCAGGGCTTAGTCCAAACTTTACAGGAACTAAGATACCTAACCCTCTCACCTAAATAGTTTCAGCACCTTGGGGAGCTCCCTTAGAGTTCAAACTGAAATCCAGTAAAATGAAGAGTTGTGGATCCAGGCAAAATAACCCTCCTGTCAAATAAAAACACATACTTTATTCAAGTTAACAGTTTTAGTTGCAAAAAGGAGTTGATGGATATTTAAAAGGCCAAAGATTTGATTAGTTGCAGTAGAAAGTGTATTGATACAGCATAAGGAGCATCGGATGACAAACAGGTGCCCACCTTCCCTATTTATTGCTGGGTATCCAGGGGAGTTAACCAGAGTTGAGTATGTACCCCTCTCCAGGTTAAGACCACTAATGGTGATCACTCCCTAGTTCCATCTATGGGGAACTATGGCAGCCCTGCCAAGACAAGTGCACCCCTTGTCATTCCCCCACCCCCTGATCCTGACTCATAGACAATGGCTTGCCTGGAATAGAACCAAATGCCTGTCTCCCTCAGTAAATATCTGTGCAACCTTGCCCTGTCTTCTACCACTGATAAAGCAGTGATAGAGTAATAAAATGTATAAATAATGATGTGTGCAAAACTGCACCTCCCCCCTTAAGTTACACAAACAACCCTTTTAAATTACAGGGAAGGGTGGGTAGGTGACGTGTGCTTGAAGACTGCTGGAGAGGAGCCTGAAGTTCCCCTTTCTATTCCTGCCTGATAAGCTGGATTGAAAACTTGCAATCAGGTCTGACAGACCAGGAACTTTACCCCTATGTGCCACCAGCTATCCCTAATTGGCCTGCCAGTTGTGCACCTCCCAGAGCCTTCCCCCAGACAAGAGCATGTGGAAAGAAAACCGGAGCATGGCAGGTGGCTGTGCATTGTCCCAGGTCTCACTGGGCTGCAAACCAGGCCCCAGGTGAGTCATTTTAAGCCAGGTGACCCTGGTTTACCAGTTTCCACTGGCACAATAATAACATTCACCATATACATGGCCGGTTCCCATTCCCAGAACTAACTAGGATCGAATTCTAACTTACATTATGAGTATAATTTGTTAGGCCTGAAATTATCTTCCAGAACATCCACTTCTTTCTTATTTCATATACCTCCTCATAACTTACAACCTTTGGTCAAGCAGAGCACAACAGAATTGCACACAGATTCTGAAAGCTTAGAACAGAATTTACCAAGTTCCATCTCAACTTGTAAATATGAAAGAGAAGATATTTTTCACATATTCTGATGTATTGTTTTTTTTGAGGACACAGGTTCTCCGAGCTTTCCATCTTACTGGGAACAGAGTACTAGACAACATAATTATGTTCTCTTTCCCCTAAGGAGACTGACCCAGGAAAACTGCTGAAAACACACTTTCCCATTTGAGAACAAAATAATAATAATAATAATGTGTGCATAGCTAATAAAATAAGTAATTTTATAATAATAAAATTTTAGTAATAAGTACATTTAAAATAAAATAATTCTTCCAGAATTTTGTTTTCCTTTGGGAGAGAAAGGCAGAATGTCTCATTTTATTTATGAATTGTTTTTATTTAGGGACGTTGCTACAATGGAGATTGCAAGACAAGAGACAATCAGTGCAAATACATCTGGGGACCTAGTAGGTTGATTTAAGTATGCTTTATTCTAATGTATTTCTTTCTTAGTTTGTACCATCAACTTTTCACTTTACTATAGGTTTTCGTATAAAACTGTACTGGATTTAAAAGATAATGATAAGAAAAATGATTTCTATTTTTAAAAAAAGCTCTTTTAAGCATACAGCTGCAAAATATGACAAGCCTGCCATATATTAAAGCAAGTCTATTTGTGTCTTACTTTTTCAAGCATGATAAATATTTGAAATTACATCGGGGGGGTTGAGTATATTCTGTATTTTCATAGCATACCAGCACCTTGGGTTTAAAGTCTCTCTCTGGCTGGCAGACAGGGTTCAATCACATTGATCCTGTCTTTCGCAGACTGGCCTTAACTGAAAATGGGGTCACAATATGCCCTGGTAAGCTTTCTTAAGCTCAGCAGAAGAGTAAAGAACAAGAAAGAGAAAGGAGATTTTTGTTTCAACTAATTCCCAGCATTTTCCATTGTAGACAATTCTGAAAATCAAACTAGTATTCATTAGGGTTTGGCCTCTCCCTTGACTTTTTTGTGAGGAGTGGTCATAACTGCCCTCTATACTGTTTCATCTGTGAAGAAATGGCTTGCATGGAGGCCATCCATAAGAAAATGCCGGCCCACCGATATGCAGATGGTATGCAGTAAAGGATTGCTGATCAAGCCCTGCCCTTTTTTTCACCAGAGTTATGCTGGGTTAATAAAACAGGCTAGAGGAAAAGAACAGCCTGACAGGGCTTAGGCAGTCCCTAGTGTGCAGCAGAAAGAGAATTGGCACATCCTCTGCCAATTCAGGTGTGCAGCAGAAAGAGAATTGGCACATCCCCTGCCTAGTAGAGTTGGGAAGAAGTAACTGAACCAACATTCAAAAAACACACTTAGAAAGTAGCACCATTCCCTTTCGTCATAGGATCAGGCTATACTTCAGAAGAGCTCAGTGAGACTTCAGGTATGAAGGGAATGCAAAGATGAGCTGTCCATTGCAGTTCCTCCAAAGCAAATGAATGTGTGGTGTCAGAGGGGCAGGTCTGCTATGGGGCCCCACATTTTCTTTCTAGCTGCTCTCAGACTTAGATCAAGCCCTTGGCTAAGCCATTTTCTCCTGTGGAATAGGCAGATTCCACCCCCCAGGGGGAAGACAGACATTGTGTGACAACTGGTGACAGATGAATGCAAGGGACCTTATTTACACATATACAGTACAAGAGATTCACTGTGGATTCCCCCTAGTGCAATTTTACTTGCCAGAAGATGTGTCTTCTACAGGACACTTAACCACCCTTCTTGCTGCAATGAACTGCAGTTATCTTCAAAGATTTCTACCTTGCCATTAAGTTGAAGGGCAGTAACCAGTGGCTTGAGGCTAGTTCTTTTCTGCCCTCCATACTTACTGTTAACAGTTATAACAGCACTGCAGTTAAACTCTACTACTGCAGTCAAGCTTCTGCTCACAACCTGAGTTCAATCTGAATTCGGATAGCTGGCTCAGGGTTGACACAGCCTTCCATCTTTCCGATGTTGGTAAAATGAGTACTCAGCTTAATGGGTGTTCCTTAGCGTTCCTTGCATAATTGTGTTGTAAACCACCCAGAGAGTGCTCTAGCACTATCAGGCAGTATAGAAGTCAAAACAACGCCAACAAGTCATTTCATTATTTAACCTTCCGTTCAGTCCTCACTGTGCATAGGAGAGTTCTTAGAATTTCAGATGTTTAGTAGGTGGGTTATTTTCGCTGTTCCAGACCAGGCTGAATAGTGCAGAGTGGCCACTTCCTCTTGAAAGGTTCTCCACCTGGAAAGGGAGAGGGAACCACAGATGTGGAATGCCCTCTAGACTAGAGGTCCCCAACCCCCGGTCCGCTGCCCGGTGCCAGTCTGTGGCCTGAGCTGGACCGGGCCGCCGAGACAGACCTCCCGCCCCACTCCCCGCATGCACTCATCCCCACACAGCCCCTGCAGCGCTCTCCAGCATGCCCGTGTGAGTGCCATGCTGCCGTTTGCACATGTGCACAAGCGCGCACATGCCCAGACAAGCACTGCACCACTGTTTGGGCATGTGCACAAGCACACATTTGTTCACGCGCAAGCATGGGGGTGCCTCTCCTTCCCCAGCCAGTCCATGGACCGAAAAAGGTTGAGGGCCGCTGCTCTAGAAGATACAAAGAACAGCTATTTATAGCAAAATACTTCCCTTACAGTTTGTATCATTAAATTTTCATATCAGGTGTCTGCAGATGTTATAACAGTACAAATGCAATGGCATAATATTTAATTAATTGTTGCTGAAACTATAGTCCTTAACAAACAGTATTTAACATATAGGTATTAGATATGTGATCCCACTGTAGTAACCAAATTAATCCTGAAATAAGGGAAGTTATAGCAGGTTGTTATTGATTATTTCTTGCTTTCCTGAATCAGTATTTGAGAGTACTGGTGTCATATTTGAATAATAGTATCGTGGTATTAATCCCATGCCTTCTGTGTGATTCAGATACAACCCACCAATGCCCAGTCTGGAGAAGGGCCAAGTAGGCATAACAAAAGATCAAATCTCTTGATCACATTGCTCTAGTTTAGGGGTCCCCAAACTACAACCCACTTTGATTTTTTATCTGTTCCAGACATAGGAAGAGGAGGGAAGCGGGACCCAAGCAATCTCCCTTCCCTCCTTCGTCTCTCAAAAATGTGTAAAATGGCCCTCATATGGAAATGTTTGGAGACCTCTGTGTGACAACCCCAGACCTACTGGGATATGCCACAGTTTCACTAAGCTGCCACCAACCATTCCCTATAAGAAGTCACACGGACCAGGGATGGATTTTTAACTAACAAAGGAATAAGGTTTATTTAAATAACACACAGGGAAAATAAAATGATCAAGTGAATAAGATACAGTAACGCGGCTTAGTCTTAATCATACATACACCAGTTTGGTTCACACAGAACACCTTTAAATAAAGCACAGACCCTGAACCTATCAGTTCTGGCTAACCAACAGACACCTGAACCTATCAGGTTGGTACTGACTGACACACAGTAGTACCCTGTCTGACACACAGACTCCCACACCAGCTTCTTCTTCTCAGCTTCTCCTTCTTCTTCCTCCACTTCTCCACATATATATACAGTACAGCCCCTCCTCCTGATGTCCCGCCTTCCACTCCCCATAGGATGGAACTTTCCCTCCAACCCATGACAGACAGGTAACATCAGTGCTGTATGTAACACTCTGCTCTAGTTTTTTTTTAAAAAAAATCCTCCAGAGATCCAGGTGTGTAACAAATAGTCCATATATTGAAGCACTCTCTTTTATAAAGGTGTCAACACTAAGTAATTCTGCAATCCAAAGGTTTTTACCAAGGAGTGTAGTTAGGTACAGTTCTTTTTCTTAAAGCCATCTTAATATTTTCTGAGCAACAAGAATATTATTAAAATTTATCCTACTTTTATACCCCACTTCTTCACTCTTTACTCTTTCAGGTAGGTTGGAAAACATCTCAACATAAATTTTTTTTAATCCAATGTGTGGGGCAATTTGAAACTAAATTAATTTACAAGTTTTTGTTGCCGAAATACAATTTGCAGAGTTGACTGTAGTTGGTGATATGCGTGTTTTTTAGAGCTACAGATTAAGCATATTGGAAGAACCTCCCTGCATTCTTTTCTACCATTTTTTTCATGCTTATTCATTATAGGTGGAGAATAACATCACATAGATAGAATTCTGCTCAGAACATACTTCTTCTCTCCTCTCTCCTTCTCTGTCACTGGCCACTCCAAATCTCCAGTAATGATGTGATGACATGAATGGTTTACAAGCCAGGTTTCTCAGACACAGACATGTTTTCAGTACAGATAAAAATCATTTAGGGCATTCACCTTTTAAAAAATCCAATCTGTATTACCTAAAAGATACTTTATAAATTGTTATTTTACATGCATTCTGATAAAGGAAAATAGTACCTGTGTGAATCTGCTGGACAGGATTTCTGGGAGTTGAAGTCCAAGAACATTTGGAGGCCCAAGGTTGGGGACCACTGACCTAAAAGATGCTTTTTAAATTGTTATTTTACATGCATTCTGATAAAGGAAAATAGTACCTGTGTGAATTTGTATTAGAAATTACATTCATGTTTTCCTCAACAGAGGCTTCAGCATCTCATAAACACTGCTATGAGAAGCTTAACACAGAAGGTACAAATAAAGGAAATTGTGGGAAGGCTGGAGATAAATGGATTGCTTGCCACAAACAGTAAGTGTAGCCTATTTAAATGACTATATTTGTGGTATACCTTTTCTCTTGCTGAAAACAGAATTATCAAAACAGCTGTAGGAAGTTTAAATACTGCTCAGATCCTCCATTTGAGGATCAAAAAGTTTTAATTCACTGATAGCTGGCATTTATCCTACCATTACTTGTAGTTTCCTTGCCAATGATAGCATTTGACTGCAGACTGGAAATTAAGCCAATCAAAGCCCTATTAAGATGTTTGAAAGGGAGCAGAAATTAATGTCTATGGGGAGGGAAGTACACTAACTGCATGGCTTCCATTATCAGTTATATGTGAAGACAGTTTACACAAAGTGTAACTCTTAAGAAATGAGAATTCTTGATCACATCAAGAATCTTGACATGTAGGTAAGCTCTGCTAATCATGCTGTTGCTGTCCACCTGTGGAAAAAATTATTAAGGAAGGTGGGGCTCACATACAGTAGGTATATTAACTCTTTTTGAATGTGTGAATAGTATTTGTATTTTTCTGTGATTCTTCTGTCTGTCTGAAGGTTTTGTAGGTGGATTAACAGATAGCAGAGGCAAATGGCATGTGATACCACCTATGCAACTAGCAATTGTGCATTTTTAAAGAGTAAATAGCAAACTTGGTGGAATCAGTGGCAAATTTCTTCCCTGTGCAAATAGCAGGTATGGGACACCTAGTACATTCTAGGATTGCAAAGTAAGGCAGAGATGTAAAGCGTTTGTGTGGACTGCTCCTTGTACCTGCTATTTAATCACATCTCCCCTCAAACCCACAGTCACATGGGTTAAAATTTGTATGAATTGTGCCATTTCTGGTTTAGTCCTTGCTTTAGAGCTGCAGTAACTTTCTACCCTAAATGCTTGGGACACCCGTCTTTGTTTTGATGTAGATCAGGTTGTTGCTTTTGAAGTATTACTGCCTTGACTGACAGAGTGATTGATTGATTGATTGATTGATTTGCATTCTTGGGAAGACCAATGTATGGTCTATTATCCATTGGTTTGGCTTCAAAAATCTTCCCATTCCCCCTCTTCATTGAAAACGTACGTCCCTCTCCTCAAACTATTTCTGAGATTCAGAAAGACGGTCAGATACATGTGATGTGACCTGGACCTCAGCTGGAGACTGATACAGTGGACCCTCGACTTACAGACAGCTTGACTTACAGACTTTTCGAGTTACAGACTTCTCTGGCTGCAAAATTTAGATTCAACTTACAGCCGGAGAAAAAACCCAAAATGGAACAAAAATAGAATAAAAACTGCTGGTTATGGGATTAATCGGTTTTCAATGCATTGTAGGTCAATGGAGATTCGACCTACAGACTTTTCAACTTGCAGCCACCATTCCAATACGGATTAATTCCTTAAGTAGAGGGTCCACTGTACAGTAGCAATAAGTGACAGGAAGATGGTGGGTCCATGAGTTGAACTCTTTGGGATCCAAACTATCTGCATGGGCTTTAACTGTATAGCATGTTTCTACATCTCATATGAAGCCCATACCATATCATATTCTTGAAGTTAGTCTTATTGCCTATAAATATTCAATGTGTTTATTTGTGGAGCTTTATATCTGCTGTGCTATGATCAGTCTAGTATAAACACTGAAGATTCTCAGTAAGTTTTACGATTTGAATTATATTCTAGAAATTGTTATATAGTGTTCCTGCTCTCAGCCTAAATTTACATGAGGCAGTTACATGAAAATTGTGGATTTTAATGTTTGTGCATTAAAATCATCTGGAGTTTTTACATTGGATAAAGTGCAGTCAGGGTTTATTTTCTCCCACAGGTAACTTTTAATAATTGACAACAAAATTCCTTCTATTTTTATGTGATAGAATCATTTGTTATTTGAAACTATCTTGGTTTTTATTTTACAGTGATGTATTCTGTGGATTATTGCTATGTGCAGATCTTGAGGGGCCTCCACAAATTGGTCACCTTCAGGGAGAAATTACTCCAACTTCCTTTTTCCACCAAGGTGTAGTAGTGAACTGCAGGTATGTAGTGTCCCATACTGTGTGTGTGTGTGTGTGTGTTTGTTTGTTTGTTTGTTTGTTTGTTTGTTTGTTTGTTTATGTGAGGGTTTTTTAGTATTCTTGTACATTTCTGTAAGGCAGATTCTTATGAATTATTGCTGAAGTTTTGTTTGATATAAATTTTTTTCTGTAGTTTACTCCCTGACATTCTCTTAAGTACTGACACCTCAATAGATTGCTCTTTGGGCACAAATACCTAATGTCAGTGTGTGTGGTTCCTTCCTTCACACACATACCTTTTTATGCCCCTCCAGTAAAGAGACTAGACTCATGTTCTTGCTTGAACAGTTCAACATTTACTACATTATCTTTTTTTTCTAACATCAAATGCAACAGAAGGTAGCAACTTTCTTCTTCCTGCAATGGGGGGAGGAAGGGGTTAAATAAACTTGAACTATATAGATTAACACTAGCAACATCATTCCATTAATTCTGAAGTCCATGCTTATTCCCAGACCTCAAAAGTGTCCTGTCTGACAATGGCACCAGCAACCTGGGCAATGACTCTGATTCCCATCATTCAGTTGCTCCTTGAGTCCATATGTCATCCATGGGTTACCCCCTGGTCACCAGGGGTGAACAGTTCAAAACTCATTGTTTCCTTAGAGAGCCTCCCCTGTGCTCTGTGGGCACCAATGCTTCTTCTTCCCTCTCTTCCCTTCTCCTTTCCCATCTTTCTCTTTGCCCCTAGTAATAGGGCTACTCAGGAGATCTGTGTCGCTCTGTCGAGTTGCTTCCCCTTTAGGGAACATAAGTCGTTGCCAAGTTTGAGTCCAAAGGTTCAGTTTTCTGATCCATTCCCAACCAACAATTCTTTCTCCATCTCTACAGTACCAGCCTGTATCTTTTTTTGAATGCTTTTTACCCTCTCCTCCTTTTGTGTCTTCTTTTTTATATATATTGTCCTTCACTCTCCTCTTCCCCTTTCTTTCCATTATCCTTCCTGCCCTTTTTTCTCCTTCTACTCCACCTTTGGCCTCTGGGGGGAGGGTCGCCTTTCTCTTTCTCCCTTCTGGCTTTCAGATTTTGTATCCTGGGTTTCATCTGTTTTCCAGGGAAGAGGGGCAGCACTCCAACAGGAGACCTAGGCCTTCTGTCCAGGGTCTCACACAGTGCTTGTCACAGAATTACAATATTTATATGCTTTAATATGTACTGTCTCACTGAAATAATCTGGTGTTTCACAATTGTATTCAATGTAGCTAGGTTTTTAAAAAGATTATTCAAAAAAACAAATGATCTTATCATTTTTAGTACAGTATCAGTTTTTATGGCATTTTGAAATCATAAATGTTTTGAGCCATTAACTTTATTTTATGAATTAAAATGAACCTAATATTATGTTTTAAAACTTCTTCTTGTAGTTTTGCACATGTACTTTTAGACGATGAAACAGACTTAGGTTATGTCGAAGATGGAGCTCCATGTGGTCCTGAGATGATGTGTATGGACAGAAGGTGCCTATCCATTCAGTCTCTGAATATAAGTAGCTGTCCTGTTGATGCTAAGGGAAATATTTGTTCTGGACATGGGGTAAGTGACAATTAAGGTATGCCATAGCCTTAGTTCAAAGAAAATTATTTACTTACTGCTGAGCAATGTGCATTTCTAGAGTAGATTTTTTTTTAAAAAGCAACGATACAGAATTTTTGAAAGAATATTGGAAGCTCGGTAGGCGATTACTTTTTCATCCCAGCACTCAGTTTGTCTTCAGTTATGCTACTAGATGTTTTAGCGGCACAACTTAAAAGTGATACTTTAAATAAAACAGCAACAAAATGTTACTTGTTAACTGTGGTTCTTAGAATTTGTTTGACTTGCAGCTTGCCTTGACATACTAGCCATTGGCCACAGCTCCCCAATACAATACTTTGTGGGGGGAGAAGGGAGGGTGCGCAGTGCTTCCATTTTTTCTGTTTGAAAATCATTTACAATTATGGAATGTTACAAAATAAACACATAACATGTTTAATCAATGGTTATTTGATTAAGAAACACAGTATTAGTAATAAAAATGTTTTCATAGGCTCAAAAACCTTTTTTAAAGTTTGACATTAACCATGCGTCACACTGTCTGTACTTAGTTCTTTTTCTGTTTGAAAATCATTTACAATTATAGAATGTTACAAAATAAAAATATAACATGTTTAATCAATGGTTATTTGATAAGAAACACAGTATTAGTTATAAAAATGTTTTCATAGGCTTAAAAACCTTTTTAAAAGATTGACAGTAACCATGCGTCATACTGTCTGTACTTAGTTCATTTCCCATCCTCTTTTTTGTCTTTTTTAAAAAATTATTATTCTGACAACTCACCCCGAGTGCACACGGCTGCAGCCTCTGTTCTCTGCCACACTGCCTGGCTCCCAGCCGCAAGGAGCTGAGCTGCCGCTGGTTGCAGGGAAGGCAAGAAGTCCAGGCTTGTGACTGCCGCCACCAGATCTCTTTGATCAAGGTGGATGGGGGTGCAGAGATTGAGGCAACATGCTTTCGTGTCACACTTGTGCACATGCACACAAGCTCGACATGCCCACCAGCAAGTGTGACAGGTGATCCTTGTCCGCGGCCCAGTTCAAGGCAGCCCACTGACCGTCACCGGACCGCGGACCAGGGGTTGGGCACCCCTGGTCTAGTCCATGTACTTGCACTAAATAATAAACTCATTTGAGCTATACAAACATGTGTAAAACATTTTTTTTCTGATGGATATAAACAGCTCTGATCCAAAGAAGAATTTTCTTAGCATTCTCAGTGTCTTAAATGAACTGATTGTGTTCTCTCAATATATGCATTAGATTACTGAGTTTATGCTTCAATGCAATTTTTGCATCTAGGCAAGGACATACAGTATTCATCTCTGCACAATTTTATCCTTTTTTATTTCAGAGGAGAATAGTATCTAAATACATGAAAAAAATACTCATGTAAATTACTTTTTTTAAACCAAGAGATCCATTAAGAATATGAGAGCATCTGAGCATTCCAATCTAAAATATAAACTTGTTGTTTTCTAAATAATAGTCCTAATTCTACTTGAAAACTTTCATATATGCTAATACATGTAAACATTTCATTTAGATATGCAGCAATGAAGCCACATGCATTTGTAACACCACCTGGGCAGGGACAGATTGCAGCATACCCGATCCTAAGAGGAAAGAAGACTCTGAGAAACCAACTGGACCAAAGGGTTTGTATGATTTCAGTTTCGCCCCCCCCCCTTCCCCAGGTCTTTGACTTCTCTTTAATAATGTGCATCTAAGAATACATAGTTTATTGTAATAAACACCCATAAATAATCTTATCTCCCACTTTGACATACCCTGTTTCTCTGAAAATAAGCCCTAGCCTGAAAATAAGCCCTAGTATAATTTTTCAGGATGCTCGTAATATAAGCCCTACCCCAAAAATAAGCCCTAGTTAAGTGAAAGCCTGCCTTCCACCATTGTGCAGCAAACAGAAGATGACATGGCTATATTTGAATAAACTTAGATTGGCCTTCCACCATTGTGCAGCAACCAGAAAATGACATGGCTATATTTGAATAAACTTACATTGATGTACTGAAAAAAATAAATAAAACATCCCTTGAAAATAAGCCCTAATGCGTTTTTTGGAGCAAAAATAAGACCTTGTTGTATTTCAGGGAAACATGGTATTAATTCATATTTTAATTAAATCTTTTTATTCCTGATGTCTCTTTGTAATTGTGCAGCAACCAGAAAATGACATGGCTATATTTGAATAAACTTACATTGATGTACTGAAAAAAATAAATAAAACATCCCTTGAAAATAAGCCCTAATGCGTTTTTTGGAGCAAAAATAAGACCTTGTTGTATTTCAGGGAAACATGGTATTAATTCATATTTTAATTAAATCTTTTTATTCCTGATGTCTCTTTGTAATATACAATATTTCTGAAGAAAAATCATATATGTTTATTAAATGTAACTTTCACTGTGGGAAAGGATTAACATTCTTAGAGGTCTTCTAAGAGTATTTACAGCACAATCCTATGTATGTCTATTCAGAAGTAAGTTCTGCCGAATTCAGTGGTATTCTTAAAATTATATATTTCTAGCTTTAGATGTTTTCCTCAGATTTGCTCTGAAGCAGTTTTCTTTCAATACTTTAAGAGCAGAATTTCAATTCATATTTTAAATGACATTTTTAAACAAAATTATGGATTATACCATTTGATTCTATTAAAGTATACTTAACCAAAATAGTAAGAATTTATCTAGTAGTGCCATATTTTTCTGTGGCAGATCCCATTAAGAAACTTTGATCATTTTGAGTTTTGGATATATTTTTTCCCTATATTTCCCACTTTCTGTACCTAGAATCTTGGTCAGAATTACTTTCACACTAAATATAGAAGAGGGAAAATACTAATTTTCAGAATATAGTTATTTTACTGGGGTTCATTTTTTGTTTTATTTCGTTTTCTGTGTGTACATGTATGTCTGAATATTATAAAATTCTGTATTAACTAGAAATAAGAAATTATGTCTGGCAGGTTTACTGCTTATACATGGAGTGACAGAACATACATTTATGTCATATTAATTTGTATTACTGAAAGAATGGACAAATTGGTGGTTTATTATTAAAGAGGAATAGAATTAAAGTGTTGTAAAAAGATTATTAAAACAATTATTCAGGAATAAAAAGCTAAAACTGGCAGTAGGTTAATCTGAGTTTGAAATAAGTTTATAAATAATGATAGTATGGAACCCTTAATACCTTGGCATACTAGGAATTTCTAAAGCTGTTTCAAGGGTCTCCCAGTACCATGCCATAGCACAGTAAGAAGGTAAGAGGAAACTGACTCACTGCCCAGTCTAGGTGATCCAACAAAGAGATGGATGTTGCATGATTCAACTGGCATTTTGACAGAATAGCACTGATCAACTGTATAGATTTCCCCTGCAGTGAACTGGCCCTTCCCATCAGCTTCAAAGGAATGTTGGACTCTCCGGAGCAGATTTTTGTAGGTAAGAAGCAGCTGAAGTGTAGAGAAAGAGAGAAGATTCATTGCATGAGAAGACGTGTGCTCATGCAATGTCATTCATCACCTGGATGCATAATCACATGAAACCTTTCCACAACCACCTGAGAACCCCCATTATAAAAGAAATCATTAAAAGGAGGAGTAGAAAGCACTATTTCTGCTCCTGGATGCCTTCAAGAACAGGATCTATTTATTGGGGACTTAGGGGATCCACTAAGCGCCCTCATCAAAGACAAAACATGAAGTGCCCATTGAATTACCTCCTTTTTGTGGGGGGAGGGGGGTAAATGGCTGTTCCTAGGTTTAATATGGCCCATGGTGGCATCTCGGGAGTAAGCCTGCTGCAGTAGGTGAGAGATAGAGGCAGAGATGAGCTAAGTGTAGGCCCAAACAGGCCTAAATGCAACTCTCAATGCCTTTTCCCCCTAGCATCCCCTCACCCCCCTCCAAAAAAGTTTCAGAATTTAACGATTTGGCTGTCCTTTTCTCATTGTTCAAAACGTTTCCTTTTGCCCACCAGGAGTTGTGGGAAGAAATGTCACCATATGTTATACCCCCATTTTATAATTTGAAAAAAACCCTCTAAAAATCCACACACACATATCTAGTGCTTTTTTCTTTTTCTTTCTCCCCCCCTTTTTCCCCACTGTTCCTCAGTTTTTTGGAAGTCAATTAGAAGATGTAAAAAATGCAAAAGTTCTCCCCAAAGAGGGGTCTTCGTCAGTTCAAATAAACACACAACACACAACCACATTATGTAGAGTGGGGGGGGCATGGGAATATCTGTAGCCCTCTAGAGTCCAAGAGTGGGCATTTGCATTAGCCCACCCCTTTTCTGGTGGTCAAGGCAGTTGCCATTTAGCTCAGGTACATTTTTTTAAACTCAGTAGCCAAAGGTTAGAACATTAGAAAATCAGACTTCCATTGACAGAGACTTAATTTTAGCATTCTTATTTCAATACTGTTTTTAAAAGAACAGTAAAGTCAGTGCATTTTGCTGCATCTGAGTGGAATGCTTTGGTGTTGGGTGTATAATGTAGGAAAAGACTGGAGTAAGAGATTGAGATATGAAATTCTCTATGTATCTTTCATATAAAGCCACCTTATGTCCTTTTAAGGAGAAAGGTTGCATGAAAATATATTAAATAAATAAAAAATTAACTGATTTTATATGATAATAGCCATAACAGTATGTAGTATGTTACATTGAGATATTTGATTAACTTCTCTTGCTGTGTTATTGTTTTTCTTTCAGTGCTTCATATCATCTATCAGTTTTGCTTCTTTATGTATTTCAGGCTGTCAATTTGCTGTCATTTTCAAATAAAGATAAATTACATTAAACTGGAAGAGTTGTAATTCAGCTGCATCTGCCTGTCAGTGGAATGGAGGACACTGGCAGACAGATGCCCCTACAACTCCCTGTGCCTATCCCACTCTATCTGGAGGATTGTGGAATCTTCTGGAGCATATCAGGAGGAGGCACAGATATTGTAGCAGGAAGGAAAGGAAGGGTAGCTATTGTTGCTTGACACCCACGTGTGTAACATGGGAGGGAAAACCCACATCATTCACGAATACAACTGTGAAGGAGTATATCATATTATATGTATTTTACTTTTTTCTGAAAATGTTATTTTCCGTGGAGTAAACTAACAAATGTAACTGTGAAACCAGCATTTCATAATTAGATAGCCATATAAGAAAGCATTCCTTCAATATGTATACTGGAGAGTAAACTCTATTTAAGACATTAAAACTTTCTTCTGAATAAGCATGCATAAAACTGCACAAAATCAAAACCTGTTCTCAGATGTGCCATTTAAAAGACAATATAAGCTTAAAACAATATGAACATCTTTAAAGTCAACTTAATCCTGTAACTTTAAAAAGGTAAAAATTGATAGTAGTATGCAGATTATATAGCACAAACATATCAAGCCGGTACATTTTAAGTTAAAAATTAAAACAAAGTATTAATGGTGGTGCTTCCCTATCTTTTGGGGGGGGGGGGGTAATTTGAGACATCATCAGCCTTACATGGTATATCTGCATGAAAAAGATGTGAGCCATTGTGTACAAGTTGTAATACTTTCTTCCAAATAAAAAGACAGAGTGCACTCAATCAAGGAAATTAGTAAACCACAATTGCTTTAATAGTTGGGGTTCTGGGAATAAAATAAATTAAGCTCACAATATGTGTTGCTTATCAGTTATAGGTTAGGATGCAGAGACCACCTTAACAATCACTTTCCACTGAGGGTGCTGACCTTTCGTTTTTGAGGACTTCTGTTCTACAGCACAAAGGAATTTTTAAAGCTACCTTTCCTTAAAAGGGGGGGGGGACTATTGGCATGCATACAGATCGAGAAAGGCAAATCTACAGTCTACCTGAGCATGCAGTATTAGTCGTGCCATTGCATAATCCTGGCTTATTTCTACGTGAGTCCTCTCCAGAATTTATGTAGATAGATAATGGATCATAAATTATTTGCAACTTGATTTTAAAAGTCCTGATTTCCTTTAAGAAAAATTCTATAGAAATTAAAAGGTAGAAAACCAGATTCCAATTGTGCCACATTCTGGTGGCACAATTCCTTCTTTTAGTGGAAACTTTCCACTAAAGGAAAGTACTGTACAAAACTTTTTATACATTGTCAGTAGCCTTCATGTGGCTTTCTTAAGACATTCAAGTAATGGAAATGCTTGTATATAAAGGCAATATATTTGGAATTATCAGAAGGTTTTATTTATATTTTTGTTAGTAAATTTTCATACAACTCATGTTTTGTGGGCTTCCTGTTAATGAAAGATAACATGTTTACCATTACAGAAGTCTCATGACAGTTACATTTTATTGAACACAAGAAAAACTATCAGGATTTGCAAATTTTGTACATCCTCTAGTAACAATGCTACAAATTTTCAAATGAAGAACTTGTATAGAATTGGTCACATGTGTTTTGTCATATCATAAATAAAATTCTAAGGCTACAATAAAGACTATCTTCATATGAGACCAACATATGTACCCTCTCTTTCCATGAAAGAGGGTACATGGAACATTTGAGGTTTGAAATTGCCACATTTACAGTCATGTTCCTTTATGTTAATAGGCAAAATTATCTCAAATTATAAATATAGCTGTTAATACCTCAATGAAATCGTGTTGCA